ATGTCGACTGGGGAGGCGCTAATTCGTCCCGAGTCCCGAGTCGCCTTAATCCGAGCCGCCGTTCGTCGGTTGGTCGGTTGGTCGGTCCGCAAGCGATCGACCGTCGGCCAAATCGAGCGGAACGGCCAAGAGTCGGCAAGTGAGGCGACGAAATTGGTCATCGAAGCGATGGGCGGCGAACTAGAGGCCGAAAAAAGCCGACAGGCAGGCGAGTAAATCCGCTCCAGATAAACGCCACAGGTTAGAAAGTAGGCGACAGGCGACAGGCGACAGACAGTCACCTGTACTGTCGTCTCGTCTGCATCGCGTCGCTTCGTGCGGATGCTACCTCAAACGGGTGGACGTGCCGAACGCCAGTACCGTATGACTCTACTCGACCCGGCTGAAGCATGCAACGACTGTTAGAAGGCACGCATCGCGTGCGTCCGAACATGGTAGATTTCAGACGACGACCAACTACCGTTTATGCGCAAGCTAAATCTGCTCGCCTGGTCTGAGTCTGATCCGAGTACGGCTCCGAGTGTCGAAGCCGAACCCATCTGTGCGACAACGGCGTAATTCGTCTGCGATGAACGAAGATGAAACAGGTCGTTGATTCCTTCCGAGTTGTTTAACAGAGAAATGTCAACCGCGCGACAGTTTACCACTGTACAACTTTTCACCACGTAAAAACAGGCGCCTGATTGAAAGCAGATACGCAACAAATATTCGTCGCGTTACTTATGCGATGAAAATGTGTACTGCATGTCCGTTTCGTAGCCGGGCTGCAATAAGCAACGGAGGGTGAACAACGGTGGACATGCGAGTACTGCTATCATTGCATGGCGCGTGAGGCCCGCAAATAGAAAATGGGCGAAGACGAATCTAAATCACCAAATCGAGGCTTCCTCTTGCCCCCCAGTTAAGCAATGAAATACGTGATATTGGAAATTTTATCCTTTAAATGTACAATTCTTAACTTGCACATCTGCATTTGCTGATCATTCGTATGACACTTCGCCGAAGTACAGGAAAGGAAGATCTACTGCAATACAATCTAACCATTTCAGAAATATGAGATATTTAAAGAAATTGCATTCAGCAAGAGTGAATGACAGATCAAAACCTGTAAGATGTGCTTCTTCCCTCAGTGAGTCGACAATGTGTCAACGAGAAAGTCTACCGACATGCAAAATAACTCTTTTCGGGTACGGATTCCTTTCAGTAATAAATGCACAAGAAATCCATGTTGATGTGTTCATGGCTGACATTAAGGCCCTCATCATGAAGCAACTCAAAGTTTTAAGTAGAAACGATTTTGCTTTTTTCTTAAAACCTGAGGCGCGTTGGAAAGATGTCGGCAATTCAGCAAAACCTTCCTGATTAAAAAGCACACTTCAGCTTGAAATGCTAACCTTTTTCATAATTTACATTCAAACTTACTTCATAGTACTTCACTTAAAGCAGTGATCCGCCGAAATAGATCATCTTTGTGCAATGAGATATTCTCTCGAACAAAATTGTCACTGAATTATTTAGGTAAAATAAGTCTCGTATTTTAATATCCGAGCGGGAACGTCCATCGTCGTCATCCCTGGATTTCTTACATGTCTCTTGTGTCAGTGTGAAAATAGGGTACGAAACGTTGAGGTACAAGCCGCGAGGCAAACGATAGTGGCGACCCATATGTCGCTGAGGCTCACGCTGCTGAACTTCTGCGTCGCTTCGCCACCTCTCCGCAATTTCTTTCCTCAAATGTCAGTCGTAACCCACATCCGATTCGCGCCTTCGCCTTGAATGAGGTTGCGGCAATATAACAATAATTATGAACCGGTTACAATGATTGCAGACTTCGTCGATGGTCGTCATCAAGTTTTTTGTCGCAGTGCTTCGATAGATGGTCGACTATCAATCTTATAGTTACAGTATATGAAATCTAAAGCATCTTCGAGCGAGAACATATTGTTCGGCGAATAAGTTTTACACCTAGTTAGTTTTTCTATTAAAACGGTCTATTGAAACGATATCTTTGAAAATTGGCTTGCCACATTCTATTATCGGCTGGTTTGCCATAAATTTTCAGCCGCATAACAATCCGAGCGATTTTCGGTGCGTTCCAGTCGATCACGCAGTTTTTCGCCGATTTAACGTGAAAAGGTTCGAACTAACAATGTCGAAAATACACCACACGTCCATAACCGACATAACATTCGCAGATTTTCCTCATGAGTGTAATCGTAGATGGCGGTAGCAGTGGCGACGACGAAAACGCGACCGGACACAACGCGATGTGACGATCTGCCGGCAGCGCAGCACGCCAAGCCACGGAACAGTGCCATCATCCGAACAGAAAGCAGACAGGGAGGCAGGCAGGCAGGCAGGCACCTCCGGTCACCGCGGAAACAAAACAACTTCTGAGATTCCTCAAATATACCGCGCAAGACAGACAGACAGACAGACGAACTGACAATATGCAGGTTAATGCAGGAAGCTGGAACGAGATGACGATGATGGCGTGCGTAGAGCGACAACAGCAAAACTATAAAGCAATAATGCTCAGGCCTCTTGGCATCAGCCGCTTGGTCGCATGTGTTGCAAGTGGTTTTAAAATTGTTTAGTGGCCAACTCTGCGCCGTAATGGACGACAGGTGAAACAAAGAAGGACCGTTTAAAAGCGAATGAAGTTGAAGCGAAATTTAATGACTGTTTATTTGAGTTTTTCTCAAAATAGGTGCCCATTAAGGGACGTTGTTTCGCCGCGCTACTCGAACTCGCTCGCACTTGCTGCCGAAAGGAAGCGCTCAGCTAAACTCGCGTTTATTAGCCATCCACCCGTTCACCCACCGACTACTGCTATTTTTCGCTGCGATCGGCTAGCATGCACGCATGACGACGACCCAGCCTGTCGGCTGGCCGCAGTCCACGTAACTGCGACCATTGCTCTCTGCTCCAGTCGCTACTACCTCACAAACGGGTAGGATCGTAGCGTTCCAGGGCGCAGTTCATCGCTGCGTAGTAACTTTTGTCCTCTACCGTTTGTCAAGTTATCTCAGACTCAATATTCAGACTCGCCGCTGCGGTTGCGTAGTCCATCCCAATTTAATTTTAGTTTTTATCCGTCTCTGCGCATTACAAAATTGTCAGATTGATTTGTGATCTTCAGCAAACGCTGGCCGATACGTCAGTTATGCGCTAGGCGGATGGCGCACCGATGTGCCAGGTGAATGTCCTCGTGCGATGTAATAATGACAGGTAATATAACTTAATAAGTTTAGCAGGCAATGTCTGAAAATGCCTTGTTTGGCTGGTGATGCGAACGAACGCCGCCGGTTTCTGATGCTTTTCATGCATGCCACTCACAACTGTAACCTGCCTTCGTCAGCTAAGTCATAGCTGGTGGAAATACGACAGCTCTGTTACTGTCCTGTGTGTAAAGTCAACACGGCTAGCAATGCTGTGACTAAAGTCACTAAACTACGCTCATCTGCAATGATGCAGCGCTAACTCTTGTTGAACCAGAACGGCTGGCAACACTTGAGGCAGCCATTGCTCGCGAAACAAAGCTTTGCCCGTAGTCCCCGCCTACTTATTACTTCTTACAGACCGATGAACTAAACTATCATCGTTCCTCTCGCTGTCTCTGTATTCATCCTCAATTTTAACTAAATGTGATTCATGCATCTATACAGCTGCATAAGCAGGTTCCTACTCCACCGTGTATACAAAACGTTAGTGAACAATTTATATTTCGTTGTTAATTTGTGACCACATGACGGCCCCTTGCACGTTAAAAAGGACAAATGAAACGCCTTGAGATTTTTTGAATTCTACAATTCAGAATATGCTATTCCATGTCTATGTATATTTATTAAGAGGACGTAATATTGCTTTGCGAGTACCGCTATGAGTAAACCCCAGAAATGCAGAGATCATGCGAAAGTCAGTCACTATCGACCACACGAGGATTCCATGAAATGGTCGATGACTTATAAGGTCGTGAATCAAATGTCGCTGCGACTGAACTGCATGATGAAATACTCAGTATTTAATATGAGGATGATTTATTGATTTAATTTTACTCCAAGAGTCAACACAAATTTATACATTTGCCGATCGACAACCGTAATTCCACAAGAGAACAAAATCAATAAAACAAAAGGGCAAAAGATGAAACACGAGCGATAGATTACAAGGAGAGACACTTCACCGAGGATACGATGAATTGTACAGGTTTCTTTCAATCGCTGTAGTTTTTTGTTCTCTTCGATTAGGCACAGGATGATACCGGATACCTAAGACTTTTGAAA